TTCTGGTTTTCTCAATTAGTAACACAATAAAAAGGGGTGGGGAAGTTTCATCAGAGGATGGGCATCGGTGATTGGACGATGAGTTAAAGGTTTCTGTTTTCCCTTTAATCGTCGATTTTGTATGTGTGTTTGTATCTCTCCGATTGTGGATGAGTTAGGGGGATGAAAGGGGGGGGGGGTCCTTTTATTATTTACTTTTTAATTAAAAATCATAATAAAAGCATGAAATTAATTTAAAATAAAAATATAAGGGTATTTTGATCATTTCAAATTTGGTATGGAGTAAGTTTGCAACAAAATTGTCTTTTAGAGACGAAGTGTGCAAGTTTTAAGAAAACGAGGGACGGTTGAAGTTAATTTTTTAAAATAGAAACTAAACACGTTTTCTGGTATATGTACGATGGACGACTAGTATAATTTAACAATGTTTTTTTATTGATTTTTGATTGCTTGATTAATAATAATTTTTTATTAAACTTATATATATATATATATATATATATATATATATATATATATATATAGAGAGAGAGAGAGAGAGAGAGAGAGGTGTTCAGGTTCATTTGAGACCATTCTAATTTTGTGAGACCGTGAGACCAAATCTAAAAATAATTTTAAAATGCAAAATAAATGGAAAAATCCAAAAATTCTTTTTTTAAATATTATTTTCGGAACTTGAATTAACTAAAAAATATATAAAAAAATAAAAAAAATTCCGTTTTTTTTTAAAAAATACGTGAAATATTCTAAATAGAATATTACACTGACATATTCTAAAAAATAATTTTAAAATGCAAAATAAATGGAAAAATCTAAAAATTCTTTTTTTAAATATTATTTTCGGAAATTGAATTAACTAAAAATAAAATAAAATAAAAAATAAAAAAAATTCTATTTTTTTGAAAAATACGTGAAATATTCTAAATAGAATATTATACTGTACATATTCTAAAAACAATTTTAAAATTCAAAATAAATGGAAAAATCAAAAAAAAAAATTAATATTATTTTCGGAACGTGAATTAACTAAAAAAATAAAAAAATGCGTCTCACGGTCTCACAAAATATAGGTGGTCTCAAATGAACCTAACCCTATATATATATATATATATATATATATATATATATATATATATATATATATATATACACACACACACACACACACATATATATATATATATAGGGTTACGTTATTTTATTTTTACTAACTACTGTGTGCCAGAATGCACAGATCTGGATCATTGGATGGAATATAATCAAAGGTCATGATCTGAGGGTTTATGATAGTAGAATAGGATAACATGTACCATATAATCACACAAATTTGAACATAAGGGCATTCTAGTCAATTAACCTATATTAAAAAAGGAAATTTTCGGATTTTTAGGGATAATTAATTCCTTTATTTTTAAAAATCTAAATATTTTAAATTAATTTAAAATTAAAAATCTGATTTTTATTCTGTTAGAATGATAGAATTTTAACCATAAAGTAGTAAACATATTTTTTGATTTTATTCTGTCAGAATGACAAAATGTCAACCATAAACTACTAAATATATTCTGAAAGAATACACAAAATCGATTCTTGAACTAATAATATAACAAATAATTACATTGTACGATTGTGATTCATTGAATTATAACAAATATTCTGAAAGAATAACAAGTATAATTCTTAAAAAATAACAACATTCTAGATGTCTTGTGTATGTTTGACCTCTAAGCCAATTCAAAATATGCTAGCATTCTATGAGATTGATATTTTGTGACATTGACATTCTGTCAGAATTGGATTGCATGAGAATGATTTTATACAAGGAGTCTTTCCCATCAGGTCTTCAAGCTATTCTTCCAAGCCATTTCGATCACAAATTCATTGCCAAATACTTTGTAGTGATACACTTCTAACAACTGCACATTAAACATATAATTAATTAACTACAAATTCTATCAGAATAAAACAATAATATTCTTATATAATAAACTATTCTTTCAGAATGGAAATATTATAAAAAGGTAAACAAGGTCAAAGCTATGATCAGTCCATATGTCTGTTTGCTTCAACATCATAAACATAAGGAAAAGTCAGTTTGCTTCAACATCAAATCTATGATCAGGATATATATTTGCTTCAACATCATAAACATAGATTGAATCATCTATACTTCAAGCTACAAGTTCTTTGCCATCAAAGAATGGTGTCTCTGAATTTCTGAAAAAAATAAAAAATTACAAAAACCCAACTCAAAAAACTTAATCAAAGATCAATAAAGTTCATGTAAACTTACCAGCATCTCCTCATTAACCGGTGTTCCATTACTAACCATGAATACAATCTGAGACTGTCATATTTCTCTGGCATTTCATCAAACACTTTAAGGGCGCTCCCTAAATCACCAAATTTTCTATGAATCATGAATGAAAAAAATACCAATTCAGCACCAGCAACATCAAATGAGTTACACATGAGGGTATACCTCCTGTGTTCGGTTTCCATACGATCGAACAAAAAAAAAGCATAAATGGTTATGTGGCTTCGGTTTTGATTGAACTGATAATATTTGAGAAATATAATTACATATCTATGACTGGTGAGTATAAATCATTGTATTCTAGGATCGGTCCATGGATTTGGAACGAGAGAGATAAAGATAACGACTGTAAAATAAGATCGAATAAAGCCTGAATCTTGTTGAAGGTCCTTACAGGCGGTGGTGCAAATAGGTACATGGAAGAAGCAGGGTGCGAGACAAGAGGATACATCAATTGTAGAAGAAGAAGCATAATCGGCGATGGTGAGCCGATGATGAATGTGTTCAGCCCCAAACATAACTTGGTCAAATATATTAACTTTATTTCCTTAATTGAATGAATTCAATTAAATCATTTCCTTAATTATAAGTACCAAAAGTCTAATACCCTTTAATGATTTAATTAATTCATTATTATTTCTTGAATTATCATTGGTGCATTTAGGCACACAATAGTTGCTAAAAACATTTGAACCTAACTCTCTCTCTCTCTCTCTCTCTCTCTATATATATATATATATATATATATATATATATATATATATATATATATATATATATATATATATATATATATATATATATATATATATATATATATATGAAAATGAGGATAGCGAATGAGTATGGTCAAAGGAGAAAAAAACAGCCCGATCATCAAAACGGCGCAACACACTCCTCTGTTACTTGGATGACGTAAGGTGACGCGTCCCACACGTGAGACTATTATTGTTCTTGTCCTTCTTTTTCATCTTCACGTGTGCTCATTATATTATTCCCACCATACAAATACTCATCTTTTATCAAATCATATATTATTAATAATGTATTCTTTTTGTACATAAATGAAAAAAAAAAGTTTTAGTTGTTATATAGTTAACAATTATCATATATAATACCTAAGTATTTTTTGTTTATTTAACAAACAGATGACACGAAGACTCATTTTTTAAACATTAATTTTTCTAAGGTTTTGTCTTTGTAAATGATGTGTTTAATACAAGAAAAAATAAAGTTTCTTCTTGTTTCCAGCTTTTTGTTGACTTAGTGTTTTGTGAAGTTCAGAAATTGAGGACAGAAATTGAATATTTGTGTTAATCCCAATGCTATATGTAGTATAAATTAATTAATATTAGATTTAATTAATTAGAGAGATTGAGGGGTTAAATTATAATAAAGTAATAGGGAATTAAAACAAGGCCAACTCTTGCGGCACTTCAATGGGACATTCATTCAATGTTTGGAACAATATTTGGTCTACCATGTGACCTTTGCTTTTTACTTATTCTTCTACACCCCTTTTACTTTTCACTTATGATCATTTCACCCCTTCATACTTGGTTTTTCCCTTTTTTTTTTTTGTCTAATTCACACTTGATTATTTTTCTTGATATATAATCATTCATGTTATCTATAAGTAGTTCATTGCGAAAACCTATTTCATGGTTCATATTCAAGAATATCCATTACTTTTGAACCTATGTTATCTAATTGCCAACCATATGTAAGAATTATAGTTCTTGCAATGATAACGTAACAGTTGATGTGTAGAATTTCACACAGAATACCCTGTATTCGAACAGAAATAAACCCCAAATATTGTTGTTGTTATACAAGTGAAGGACCTCCCACGTGGGTCTTAGGGAGGTGAGGGGCTGACGTGAGCGGTTTAGATGATATGGTTTACCTTTTTTTTCAACTGTGTTTATGTATTTCAATCCTTCAATTATATTGCATGATAGTTTTATTTATGAGCACCAAGTTGAAGGTGTTATATTGAATAATATAGATACTAATGTTTATTATGAAAAATCTTGTTCACCTCACATTATGATTAACATCCATATTTGACCTTTTCATAGGTCAAAATAATCAAGTATTAAACAATGATTTTATAACTCCACACATAAAGTTTTGTAAGGTTAATTACTTTGTTAAAAATGTCTAGTTTTAAATTATAAAAATATTGTTTTACAGATGACCATAAACTAAATTTAAAAAAGTATTATCTATAATATTATTATAAAAAACCAAATTTTTTTTGAACGGCCGATAAAAAACCAAATAAATGGTTTTTTTGTTTAAAGGAACTTAAGATAGAACCTAATCCTTGATCATTGGTCTATTTCTCTGACCATTTATTTATTTATTAACATCAAATTCTTTTTTTGGCTTTTTCCTGCTTTTCCCAAGCGTGCACGAAATTCCTACTTTTTATTTAAATTTTGTCCTCAACAACTTTTGCTGCTTCTAATAGTGACTTTTTTAACACACGTCATAAAATATTAATGTACAACTACAACAAAAACTGTTCAAAAATATCCACAAACACTTAACAAAACTCCAACAACAAAATCTTTGCAGGAGTAACCTTCATGCGGGGCTACCTAGCTACCATGGAGGTATGGTGATAACGGGTCCCCTTGTTTCATTTTAATTTAGGGAATTCAATACCCACAAATTTAACCAAAAACATATGTCTTAAAAAAAAGGAAATTAATCACTATACATTCTTTAAAATTCCAAAAGAAAAAAAAAAAAACCATCAACTCATTATAACCGTGGTTAATTTCCATTGCTTGAATCCGTTACAATCGTTAGCCTTCTTGCTGTCTTCATAAACTCACTACAAAACACACAAAAAATGTAAGATTTTTAAGACTAAAATTATGCAAAATAAAGAGAAATTGGGAAAACAAATTCATAATCTCACCCAAATGGTTCGTCTCCTATATGTTTTAGGGTTCCTTTGACATCCCAATAATGAACACGGTTCATAATTATAGAGCTTCCGGTTTTAAACATATTACCCAATTTTTGACATAATTCTTCATACGAATCAAGCAAAGAGAGGTCGAGCGTTCGACCCACGTCTTCTGACTCCATAAAAACCTTGCAATGACCTGTCTCCATGTTCAGGTCATTCTCCTGATTTTGTCCTGGCGAAAGGCCAGAGCTAGACCCTGGCCCTGACCTGGGCCCACTTTGGGAGATCTGTTGCTCAGTTAAAATCGGCTGACCAAAGAGTAAAAACCTAGACTTTTTAGGGGTTTCAGGCTCTTTCGAGCCTGAAACCGAGTTCCCGATGGTTAACAGACACGAAACGGGCTCGGATCCAGATCCGAGCCCAGTAGGTTTGTTTGGAAACGGGTTGATTAGCGATTTCGTGGTTGGGAAAAACCCCGAGTTCAGTTTGTTATTGAGTTGGATATCTGAGAGAGATAAACCATAACGCGTGTGCCTGGCTCCCTGCATGCTAGCAGGATGATGAGGGTTCAAATTATCCGGGAGGTGGTAACCGAACGGGCCGGTTGTGGGCCCACCAAATAGGTGCGAGTGGGGCCCACAAAGCGCGGGAATCGGGATTTGCGGATCGAGTGGAAAATCCGGGTGTTGGGTAGGTCTACATTTCTTTCTTGGTGGTGAAAATGGTGACATATGAATGGTTGCCGGCATTGTTGATACCAATTCCACCAGCCATGGATTCACTCGTTTCACATTTTGAAGTAAATCCGGCTCATCCCATGTCACCTAAATTTAAAATCCACAACTTCAATCAACTTTTCAACAATGAATTAAAAGTTATTGGTGATTTATGTATTAATGATGTGATTGATACCTGCAAAAGTCTCCATGGGGAATCGGGCCACCGAATCGGATCAGAAACCTGGATTGAAGAAATTGTTCCCATAAACCAACTGATTCTTGAAGAATCTTCTGTTTCAAATGGCATCTTGAATCTCATCCCCGGAGACCACCGGATCTGCATTGCGTTCTTCACGAGGGAAGCTTTTACACAAAACTCCGGCGTACTTGCTCTTGGGTAGAAGACGATCTCAAATGGGTTTCCGGTGGTTGCTTGTTTTACTGCTTGGATTACACAATCGGCTTCCACTTTCACCTTCCCAAACGGATTCCCACTTCCGTTTCCGTTTCCGTTTCCGTTTCTCATCACCGGGGAGTATCCACCATACGGAACAACAGAGTTGCCGCCTGCCGGATTCCACCCGGAGGAGATTTCCTGTCCACCGCCGATTCCCCTCTTGGCTCGTCGGATTCCAACACAGAGTTCACCGTTTTCAGCTCGAAGAAAAACAATGGAGTCTCCGGCGACAAGTTTCTTATGGTTCACGAATGTGCTCCATCCGGTGGTGAGTAAATGCCGCCGTGGAGTTCCTCGGTAGATGTGCCGGAATTTCCATGTGTCGCCGTGAACATCTTTAGCGAGAATGGTTTGCACCGGTGGGTCCGCTGAGTAATCTAACCGTGGGAATATCGTTTCGGCGCAATACCTTGGAACGGAAAACCCGCCGCCGTTATTGGCGTCGGATTGTGTCAATGTCTTTGCAAACGACGACGGTTTAACTTGGCCCTCCGATGATCCTCCGCCGTTCTGAGAACTCGTATCTTCATCATCAAAAGAACTGAATTCGCCGGAACCGCTCACCGGAATCAACCTGATTTTTGCATAAACTTCATCGGTATCCACATCCGCCATGAATTTAACAGAAGAAACTCGACATGGGATCCACGCCGGAACCCTCGACTGACTGTTTCTCTCCCGGAATTCGACATTTCCGGTGGCATGCTCGGCGTGGCCTTGAGGAAAATAAAACACTTTCGAGTTCACCGCCGGCATTTGAATCATGCTTCCGGCGCAAGCATGCCATAACTGAGAATCTAAGCATCTCTCGGTTTCTTTCAATTTCTCTTTTGAATCCATGAAAGTAATCATTTTTTTTTTCTTGTTTTCAATCAAGCTTCTATAAATTCCCCAAACAACGCTTCAGTTCATATGATGTTATAACCCCTTTCAGAGTAAATGCTGTAATCAAATACCATAAACATTAAAAGAGATTAATCAAAAAACATACAATCAAGAAGACAATAAATTCATATTCGATTAAAGATAATATCTTTGTCTTTGTTTACCTCAAAAATCTTCAGATAAATCCAAAGAATCCGTGGATAAGCCCTAAAAACTTGCATGAACAGAGCCTGAATAATAGAACTAATCTTCAGAGTAGACTCTCATTGTCTACTCGAAATCACCGAATTTTGATACTTTCAAACAAAATCTTGAATCTCATAAACCCTATTCTTCCTCGACTTCAAAGATGAAAAGTTTTTATCCAAAAATCGAAAGATAAATAGAAGACTAATTCAGAGACGAAAAAGGGGGAAAACCCACATGAATTAACCGATTTCTTGCTCTTTTCCTGGTCAATATCTTGATAGAATATTCACCAGAGTCAAGAACAAGTCCATCATCAACATCCCCACTAAAGAAAAAACCCACACACTCATGCATTCAAACCCACAACAAAGATTTCACAAGAAAAAGATCCATTCAATGCTTTTCTCTCTCCTCTTTTCTCTTTTCTTCTCTCTCTAGGACTCTCTTTCGGATCACTACAAAAAGTCCAAGCTTTATACACATATCTCTCTCTCTCTCCCTCTCTCTCTTTCTCTATGTGTATATATATACACATATAATATTGTATTACTAGTACAACTCTTACACACACTGTGTGTGTGTAAATTAATTTTATCTGGTTGTTTCTGGGTTAAAAAAAGATTTAAAATTGTATTTTCCTTCTTACCTTTTTCTTCGGATCTGAAGAAACGCAGTTGTATCTTCAGAAGCCAGCATAACAACAAAGATCTTAAAGGAAGCAATCCCTTTTCCCTTTTTAAACTGGTTTTAAATACCCTTTTATTTATTTATTTATTAAAATAACATTTTACTTATTCTCTGTCATCAGCTGAGCAGATTTCAATTTCATGGAAGCTAAAATATCGTGAGAATTTGAAAATATCATGAGAGAGAAAAAGAGAAAAAGAGTGAGTGCTAAGGTGGAAGTCAAATGTGAGAGCTCTAAAAGCAAGGCAACAAGTCTTTTTAACTAATAAGAACAAAAAGCTCCAAAATATGATTAAGATTTTGAGATTAAGGATAATTGTTTTGCTTGATTTGACTAGGGTAAGACAAAATTTAACTAGAGTTAATTGGTTGGGTTTAGTTGGCTTGCAATTTTCATACACTTCTTAATGACCTTCTACTTTAATGGTGTTCACAAATATAAACTTTAAGAAATATAATCCATTCATACGAGTTCATATTTATTTTACATAATTATACATTTTAAATTTGTACATGTTATGTTTAGTTTGATACATGTTTATTTATATCAAACAATGTTTAAAGTTTAAGGTTTATAGGTTACAACCAAACCCTAATTATTCTACATAATTTAATATTCTAGGTTTATAGGTTACAACCAAACCCTAATTATTCTACATAATTTAATATTCTAGGGCTTAGTTTCAAATATACTCGCATACAACTTTATGATGAAATGATTTAGTTTAAAATAAAATGACTATATGGTTTTATTTGTAATTTCTTTCAAAGTAGAGGGACTACTTTGTAATTCAGTGTTACTTCAAACTAGAAGTGAGGAGTTTGTTTGACATCCCAAACTGTTTTTCCTTCTTGTCCGCAGGAAAGAAAGGGATACATTAAGCCCATTCTTGGATTAAGCGCGTACATAAAACGTCACAATTTTTTTGTGTTTAATATTTTTTTTTTTGAAACTCAAAATCAAACTATATGTTAAATTATATTCAAACATTTATCCGTATAAGTCAGAAAAATATCTCAACTGTTTGTTAAATGATTACAGACTATTCAACGAAGACAAAATAAATAATTCATACATCCATAAATCAATATACGTATTTGCAAGCTACTATTTAATGTTATTTAATGGAAAAAGCCACTACAGAAAATGAAACACGACAAACATTTTGGTTGTATATTGATATGATCGTGACTGATATAAAACAATGTCATATAGTATGGTAATAGAGAAAGATATGTCATTATAAATGTGACGTTTAAACATACACTATAATCGTATTTTTGTAGTTTACACATATTGTTTTTCGTTTTCAAATTGTTTTTGTAACTTGTAACGATAAAATTTCAATCACATTCATCACTGAATGGGGGTCAGGAAAAAGAATCAGTTAGAAAGGATTTATGCAAGTCAGATGTAAATCATAAGTAGTTAATAAGGACAAAGGACCAAAAGTGTCGATTACCATTACTAGAAGGGTAACTTGTTAACATTTTTAGAGACTGTAAGTTGAGGTGGGGCAACCACTGAGACATACTTAGGGCCCACTAGGTTTCTAAAGTAGTGAAAAAGTATTTGTTGGTCCATGCCATAAAAGATGTGTAATAAATTCAAATGTACACTAATTTATCTTTTACATGCAAACTTGTCATGTTTATTCAGAAAAAATAAAATAATCTATTTTTCTCACAATAATCTATCTAAAAAGTACAAAACAATGATTAAAAAATCCACAAAAACCTTGTATTTTGATTTTATTTTTATAATTATGCTAAACATTTTTTTATTTAAAAATAAAAATTCAACTTTTACGTATTATTTGTTTTAAAGATTAAGCAGGTTAGCAACAGATAAATTAGGTTTTATTTTCCATAAAAGATTTATATTTTGTATTATTTTTTTCTACTTTAGATCAAAAACTTTTTATTTAAAATAAACTCAACTTCAACATATTTATTTTTATTTTAATAATAAAGTCGGTTACCAATATTATATAGAAAAATCTTCAGAAAATTTCTAATATTTACGGAAAAAGTTACACTTTAGTCCCAAGATTTTTTTTGAACGAAAAATTCCTGAAAATCGGCAAAAAATTGCAGTTTAACCCTTTTTGACCGGTTGAAATTGGTACCAAATTAATTTAAGATTATTTCATAAACTAATCCAAAATATTAAGATTTTTCTGTAAACAAAAAATATTAGAACTTTTCTATAAACAAAAATATTAGCACTTTTCTACAAACAGAACCCTTATTATTATTATTATTATTATTATTATTATTATTATTATTATAATAATAATAATAAGGGTTCTGTTTGTAGAAAAGTTCTAATATTGTTTGTTTACAGAAAAGTCTCAATATTTTGGATTAGTTTACGAAAGGGAAATCTCCAGAAAAGTCCCAAAATTTTAGTCCAATTTATGAAAAAGTCCCAAAATAAATTTTATTTACAGAAAAGTACAGAATACCGGTTAAAACTTCGAAAAAACCATTTTCGGCCGGTTTCGCAGATTTTGCCGGTATTCTGTCCTTTTTCGTTAGTTTGCTCAAAATTTTGGGACTTTTCCAAAAATTACATAATAACCAAAATATTGGGACTTTTTTGAAAATTACCATGAAATTAATCGATATTATTATTAACAAATCTTTTATAAATTACATAATAACCAAAATATTGGTGGCCTAAGTACTCCTTTATTGTTTCTTGACCACTCAAACTCTCTACGTTCTTCCTGTGCATTGTTGTGGGTATGATAGTGAGATGAAGTTAGTTAGCATTCCTCTAATGTTGGTGTTCTTCTTATGTTGTTTAACCTAACTACCAACCAACATTCATACCTTACATGTTAACAATCATCGGTTAACACACATCTATAAAATGTGAAAAGTGAACCCTGAATGATAATTTATATGGAAACAAGTGAAGGGTGATTATCTTTTTAAATTGTCATTCAAAGTTTACTTTTCACTCTCGATAGATGTGTGTAATTTTATGGTTGTTACCGGGTAATGTTTGGAGGTTAGGTGGTAGTTAGGTTAAAGAACATAATGAAAGATCTATATGTTCGTGTAATGATATTTTCTAATAACACATGATCATATAACATCATGCTTAATAGCAAGTAGAAACTTATTGATTGTGTATTAATAAATATTATCAACTCTTGTATTGGTCACGCCTAATAGAGTACTTCTCACTATGACACCCACAACGATACATATGAAGAACATAAAGACTTTGAAGTGGTCAACAAACAATTGAGAAGTACATAATCGACCATTCTATTTCTAGAAATTAACAACAAATGTATTTCCCTTGTTTATAATAAATAAATAAAATATGTTTATAAATGATTTGTTAATAATAATATCCATTAATTCCATAGTAATTTTCAAAAAAGTCCCAATATTTTGGTTATCGAGTAATTTTCAGAAAAGTCCTAATATTTTGAGAAAAATAATGAAAAAGGACAGAATACCGGCTAAATCTACGAAACCGGCCAAAAAGGGTTTTTTCGAAGTTTTAGCCGGTATTCTGTGCTTTTCTGTAAACAAAAATTAGTTTGGGACTTTTTCATAAATTGGACTAAAATTTTAGGACTTTTCTGGAGATTTCCCTTTACGAAATAGTCTTAAATTAATTTGGTACCGGTTTCCACCTGTTAAAAACGGTCAAACTGTAAATTTTTGCCGGTTTTCAGGATTTTTTTGTTCAAAAAAAATCTTGGGACTAAAGTGTAACTTTTTCGTAAATATTGGAACTTTTATGAAGATTTCCCATATTATATATATATATATATATATATATATATATATATATATATATATATATATATATATATATAACTTTTTTTATTCAAGATAAACTCAAATTCAACATATTCATTTTTATTTTATTAATAAAGTTAGTTACCAATATTATATATATATATATATATATATAATATATATATATATATATATATATATATATCCCTAAGGTATGTGTGCCATAAGCATCAATCACCTAAAATAATAATTAATTTTAAAACCCTAGGTCACATTTCTACTTCATGTTCTTATACATCATATTAGGTTCA